TAATACCCTAGCTCCTCACTCAGAACCCTCAGCTCTGAACCTCTGAACCAGCCCCCTCAGGCCAGCCAGCCCCACCCTCCTTAGATCCCTCAGCTATTACCTCACCAGCCCAGCCCTACCCTAGACCTGAGCCCCTGCCTCAGACCACAGATCAGGCCTCTGAATTCTGCTCTGCTCCTCCTTGCCTGGACCTCTGGCCTATCCCCTGAACCTCTATTCTGTCCTTAAACCCCAGCATCCAGAGCCCCTCCCTAGCTTGGTCTGCGTCAGCCTGATCCCCTCCCCCTTGTCCCATAGTTCTCACTTTTGGGTGTAGCCATCCCTGCATCACACCCCCTGCCCCACCATGGTTGCCCCTCACCAACTGCCACTTGCATGCTGGCTACTTCTGTACATGCCCACTTCACCTGCGGCCTCCTCACCTTGGCCTGCCCTGAATGTGGTCCCCGCTGAGCCAGACACTCCCTTAGGGACCCTGGAGGTGCGTGTGGTAGGCTGCAGGGACCTTCCAGAGACCATCCCCTGGAACCACTTACCCTCGACTGGGGGGCCTGGAACCCCTGACAGCCGAACCCCCTTCCTGAGCCGCCCAGCCCGGGGCCTTTACAGCCGAAGTGGAAGCCTCAGTGGTCGGAGCAGCCTCAAAGCAGAAGCTGAGAGCACCAGTAAGTGGGCATCACGGGCCTGGAGGGATGAGGTGGGGTGGGAATGTCCTGGGATGCCTCACATTTGTAACACTCTAAAAAATGAGTACATTACACCCATTAGGATGGGTAATAAAGACAAAACAAAATAAAACAACAGGTGTTAGGGAGGATGTGGAGAAACTGGAACCCTTGTGTACTGTTGGTGGGAATATAAAATGGTGTAGCTGCTGTGGAAAACTGCATGACAGGTCCTCAAAAAATTAAACATGGAATTAACATGTGACCCAGCAATCTCACTTCTGAATATATACCCAAAAGAGTTGAAAGAAGGGTCTTGAAGAGATATTCTCACACCTATGTTTATAGCAGCAGGACTCATAATAGCCAAAAGGTGGAAGCAACTCAATTGTCCATTGATGGATGAATGGATAAACACAATGTGGTGTATCCACACAATGGCATATTATTCAGCCTTTAAAAGGAAGGAAGTTCTGACACCCGCTACAACATGGATGAACTTGAAGACATTATGCTGAGTGCAATAAGCCAATTACAAAATACAAACACTGTGTGATTCCACATATGAGGAATCTAGAATAGTTGAATTTATGGAGTGGAAAGAACAGTTGTTCCCAGTGACTAGGAGAGAGCGATGAGGAGTTAGTGTTTAATGGGGACAGAGTTTCAGTTTGAGCAGATGAAGAGAGGTTTGGAAATGGATGGTGGTGATGGTCATATAACTGTGTGTATATACTTAATATCATGTAGCTGTACACTTAAAAATGATTATGATGGTAAACTTTTTGTTATGTGAATTTTACCACAATAAAAAAAATAACTAATACATATGTACAAAAAAGTATGTATCAAAGTTGATTAATGATAGAGGTCAAGAAATAGAACTCTCTGGAAGCCCCCTCAGGTCCCCTCCCCAATTCCAGCCCCCTCCTCTGTCCTAGAAGTAGATACTCTTCTGACCTTTATGATTTTTTACTTTTCTTTGTAGTTTAGCACCTGTGTAGGCATTTCAAAAAATATACCTGAATTTTGCCTGGTTTTCAGACATCACTTATGTGGAATCATACAGAATATATTCCATGGCAGTGGCTTCCTCAGCATTGGGAGACGAATCCACATCATTGCGTGAAACTGTAGTTCATTCATTCATTTTTGCTCCTGTTTAATAGTCCATTGTCTTAAACTGAGCCATATCAAATTACTGTTTTTTGTTTTTCTAAGTAAAAAAAGTTGAATATTAACAATTTCATGGTTCAGTTAATAAGACTATATTATGGTTTATATATTCTCCTGTTAGTGGACAGGCAGATGTTTCTAGTTGGGGCCATTATATAAGTATTATATTTATGAATCTTCCGATGTATACCTGCAGGCATTTTTCTAGGGTAAATACTTAGGAGTGTATTGCTGGAGGTTGCATGTAGAATAAAAGTGAATTTGGATTCCTACCTTATAACATACACAAAACTCAACTGGAAGTGGATTAAAGGCCTTAATGTGAAAGGCAGAACCATAAAGCTCTGTCAAGATTGTATAGCAGAATATTATGGTAGAAAAGGAGAGGATTTTTTTAATAAGACATCAGAGATATCCCCCCGCCCCAGCATTTCCTGACCTTCCTCACGCCCACCCCCGTTCCAGGTGAGGTTAGCACTGTACTCAAGCTGGATAACACGGTGGTGGGGCAGACATCCTGGAAGCCCTGTGGCCCCAACGCCTGGGACCAGAGTTTCACCCTGGAGCTGGAGAGGGTGAGCATAGTTGGGGGGCGCTGGGGCATTGAGGGAGGGGGGCTCTGGGTCTTGGGCACCCCAACTGATGGCCCTCTTCTCTCTTGAGGCACGGGAACTGGAATTGGCTGTGTTCTGGCGGGACCAGCGGGGCCTGTGTGCCCTCAAATTCCTGAAGTTGGAGGATTTCTTGGACAACGAGAGGCATGAGGTCCAGCTGGACATGGAACCCCAGGGCTGCCTGGTGGCCGAGGTATAGCCCGACCCCTGACCCTAAGAAATGCTTCCTACATCTCCTGCTCTCATAGAAAGGGAAGACGTGTTTTCGATTGGTCTCAGAACCTTGATAGAAAAGAACACATAATTAGTCACCTCAGTGACACAACTTAAGCTGGTATTGATTTTGTTCTGATGCAAGATCTAAAAAGTAAAATAAAATCAGGGAGCATTTCAGATCCTGCTTCCCAGCAATTGTCAGTTTTGGCTCAAATACACTCTTATAAAAATGCAAGAAATAAAAAATAAAAATAAATTAAAACCACAAAATTTTGTCAAGCCAGAAAAGAAAAACAAAACTTGCCAACATGTCATGGCACATGGCAACATATGCTACCAGAGCCACAGTTGAGTAAAGAAAGAGTCCATCTGCAGTGGTGTTAGGGTTCAAATCAGGGTGTTGCACCCTCAGCACTATAGACATTGGGGGCCGGATCATTCTCGGTTGTAGGGGTGTCCTGTGCACTTTAGGGTGTTGAGCAGCATCCCTGGTTTCCACTCGCAGGATGCCAGTAGCACACCCCCAGTTTTGACAGCCAAAAATGTCTCCGAACATTGCCAGTATCTCCTGGTTGGGAGCCCATGGTCTGAATAACATTCCTAGCTGACCCTTGGTAGTATGAGCCAAGCCCTATTCTAATTACTTTGCTCAGTTAACTCATTAATCCTCACAGTAACCCAATGCACAGCTGACAGAGGAGACAGCTGAGGAGCAGAGAACATCACTGGCCCCTTCATTTAGCCAGTTATCCTCAAAAATTCTTTTTTTTTTTTTTTTTAAGATTTTATTGGGAAATTGGGGGAGGGAAACAGCGTTGGGGAATCGGGGAAGGGGAACAGACAAGTTGCTGTCCTTTTGTTCTTCAGTCTAGTTGTGGAGGGCATCGCTTCACTGGCCCATTTTGGTATTATCATTGTGCTCTTCCCAGGTGAGGCAGTCTCTAGTCAGCCATTGGACTGCTGCTCACAGCGGCCTCAAAAATTCTTTAAATCTGCCTCTAACATATCCACATGCCCTGATATACATACATACATACATACATATATATATATATATATATATATATATATATACACACACACACACACACACACACACACACACATATATCTCCATATGCATACCCCCATGTGGAAATTGTTACACGTCCTCATAATCCAGGACTGCTAAAGGAAAGGAGAGAGAGGGGCTGACTTCAGTGGCAGGGCAGTGAAATTGTTCTTTCATTAAGAACTGTCCAAAACCAAGCGAGAATGTGGTGGGTGGCCCTGGGGGGCAAATTTTGAAGCCTTCTAGGTTTATCTCTAGAATTTCATTTTGTTTTATGCCTCCCCAAAACACCATCCAGTAGAACGTTCTGCAGTTCTGTTGCAATGAGCCGATAATAGTTGTGTTCTATTGTAGAAGGAAATGTTTTATGTTGACATGTCCAATATAGTAGCCGCCAGCCACTTGTAGTGTAGCTAATGTGACAGGGAAACTGAAGTGTTAATGTTACTTAAATTTTGCTTCATTTAAATAGCCGTGTGTGGCTAGTAGCAACTGTATCAGATGCACATAAAGTGACACAGTTCCATGACTTCAGCACCTTCTAGAAGATGTGTTGGAGTTGGGAGAATTCAGCTAGACCAGTGGTTGCCCCACCTGGGTGGGCACCAGCATCACCTGGAGGGTTTATTGAAACAGACTGATGCCTGCCCCCCACCCCGTGTTTCTGATTCAGTGGGTCTAGGTGGGGAGCCCAAGGGTCTGCATTTCTAGCACGTTCCCAGGTAATGTTCATCTGCTGGTCTGGGACCACCCTCGGGTTTGCTAGAGTTGAGTGTGCATCTTGTGGGGTCAGACCCTCTTCCCACCCCTCAAGGAGGCCTGAGTGCTGCTTCTTATCTTTCCAAGATAACACTTCAGAAGGTGGCCCTGCCAAATGATGGCTGGGTTTTACAACCCCTTAATACAATACAATGCGATGCCTCAGTGATTAGAACCCCCAAAACATGGCTGCGCACACCTGTGCTCCTAAGGGCTTCCCCACCAAGCTGCCTGGAGGTGGGTGAGAGTCCTCACTTGTCGGCTCCTCTCCCCAGGTCACCTTCCGCAACCCTGTCATTGAGAGGATACCCCGGCTCCGACGGCAGAAGAAAATCTTCTCCAAGCAGCAAGGTGAATGGATGGGTCAGGGCAGGAGAGACGCCAGGGGTCCTGGTATCACCCGGTGAGGCCAGGGTGACACTGCCCTGTTCCTCCAGGGAAGGCATTCCAGCGTGCCAGGCAGATGAACATCGATGTTGCCACATGGGTGCGGCTGCTTCGAAGGCTCATCCCCAATGCCACGAACACAGGCACATTCAGCCCTGGGGCTTCTCCCGGACCTGAGGCCCGGTCCACAGGGTAAGGAGGGCAGGTCCGGGGATTCCTGGCTGCCCCAGTCACTTCCCCGGGTGCTGGGTCCCAGACATAAACCCTCTTTTTTTGTGCTGCAGTGACATATCCGTGGAGAAGCTGAACCTCGGGGCTGACTTAGATATTTCCCCTCAGAAGAGCCCTCTGGGCCCTCCTTTCAGCCCATCGAGCCTGGTAAGCATTCCCCTCCTTCCCCCTAGGCCTGGCTAGGCAGCATCAGGTGACCTGGTTCCCAGCTCAAGGCTCAGAAACCACGAGGAACTTCCTTGGGTCACACAGCATGCCTCTGGCAGAACCTGGGTCCAGTTCTTTGTTCTGGATAAAAACGTAAGCTGGAGAGCCAGGCCTCCTGGGTCCCTATCCCTGCTCTGCCGCCTCCTAGCTGTGCGACCCAAGCCAAGCTGCTTCACCTCTCTGCGCTCAGTGCCCTGTAAAACGAGCATGTTTAAAACTCACGTTGATGATAGAAGATAGAGGTTTTCTCTGGGCGTGGAAGGAGGGGTTGATTATTGGTGGGAGCCAGACACAAGGGAGCCTGCCGGGTGATGGGAGTGTACTTCATCTAGGTCAGAGGTCAGCACACGTTTTCCTTAAAGGGCAATATAATCAATATTTTTGGCTTTGTGGGCCAGGTAGTCCCAGTCATAACTATTCAGCGCTGCCATTGTAGAAAGCAGCCACTGGATACTTACTTAAGCAAACAGGCATAGCTTTTTCTGGGAAAACCTTACTGATAGTTGCTGAAGTTTCAATGTCATGTCATTTTCATAGATCAGGAAATATTCTTTTAATTGTTTTCCCGTCCCTTTAAAGACCATTCTTAGCTTGCAGGCCATACAAAAAAACAGCGTTTACCCACCCCTGCTTAGGTGATGGGGACCCGGATGGACACACATGCGACAACTGGTCCCTTCATCTACCTCAGAGTGAATTTTATATCTCATTTTTAAAAGATGAAAATAATATATGATTCATGGCATTGAATTAAATGAGCTAACTCATTATATGAGATGAGTTTGGTAAAAAAAGAAAAGAAAAGGAAAGAAATCCAAAAGTTGAATAACACCAATGGCTGGGGAGGATGTGGGAAAACAGGCAGCCAGTGGGAGGTGTGCCAATCACTGCATCCCCTTGGGAGGGCCTAGCTGGCTGAGTTAAAAATGGACATTGTCTTGACCCAGAAATCCCATTGCTGACATCTATCCTGGACCTTCACACACATGCACAACCAGGATGTTCACTGCGGCAGATTTGTGTGGGCAAAAGGGTGGATACAACCTCAGGGTCAATCCGTAGGAACCAGAGCTAAACAAATGACAAAATGGAATAGTATGCAGCTGTGAAAATGAGACCAGTCTCATGTGCTGGCATAGAATGATTTCCAAGACGGATTGTCCAGTGGGAGAGGCAAGATGGATATTGCCAATAGTGGATGCAAAAAAAAACTTGGAGCTTATAACAGCACTTTTGTTCGGGCGGGTATAAAGTATATCTAGAAAGATACCCAGGAAATCATTAACAGTGGCTGGCTCTGGGGAGAGCAGCTGGTGGAGGAAATGTTTCAACCTGCACTGATTGAATTTTTAGAACTATGTTTATAGTAAAGCATGATGGACCAGTAGGTGATTTTTCTTTTCCCATAAAAGTATTCTGATTATTTTCAGTTACATATACATGTGGTATAAAAGTGGCTCCAAAGGGCTAATACCAATAAAGGGAATAAGTAGATAAATAATATGTTTACAGCATGAAATGGGCGGGGGAGAAAAATAAAGCAGAGAAAGGGGACGGAGAGTGTTGGTATTGGGGGGTTCTGTTAGTCATGTAATAGGGCAGTCAATTGACGGCCTGCAAAGGTGACATTTGAATAAAGGCCTGAAGTAGGTGAGGAAGGAGCTGTGCAGGTGTCAGGAAAAGAGAGTTCCTGGCAGAGGGAACAGCCCGTGCAAAGATCCTGGGGTGGAAACATGCCTGGTGTGTTCAGGGCACAGCAAGAGGAATTGTTGCTGGGAGTGAGCAAGAGGGCGAGTGGGAGGAGAGGTGAGGTCAGAGAGGTAACAGGAGCCTTAGTGGCTGTTTAGTTATGGGATGCTCTGACTTCCCTCACTCTGACCCCCTCTCTCCACCACAGAGTTCCCCAATCCAGGAAACAACCACCACACCTGTGCTGCCTTCAGAGACCCAGGAGACCTCAGGCCCCGCCCTGTGCAGGTGACACCCCTCCCCCACTCACCACCCACCACCCCTGCCCTCTGTCCTCGTCCCTACCAGTGTCCTCTCTCCACAGCTCTCTCAGGAAGTCACCCCTGACCCTCGAGGATTTCAAATTCCTGGCGGTGCTGGGTCGGGGTCACTTTGGGAAGGTGAGATGGCGGGCAAGGGTTTGGAGGGCTGGAAGTCTACACCCCTGGGTCCCCGAGCTAGCTGCTAAGGTCACCCCTGCCCACTGCGGTTCCAGGTGCTGCTCTCTGAATTCCGGCCCAGCGGGGAGCTGTTTGCCATCAAGGCTCTGAAGAAAGGGGACATTGTGGCCCGAGACGAGGTGGAGAGGTGGGGACCCTGCTCAGACCCTCTGAGAACCTCAGTCTTCTTTTCTGGGAAATGGGAGACAGAGCAGTCCCTCTCACACTTATTAAGCTAGTACTTAATACATAATAATAACTCTTAGAAAACACCCACTCTGCATTTTACATTCAGTAACTTATTTGTTCCCCACGACAGCCATATGAAGTAAATACTGTTATTGTTCCATTCTGCTGATGGCACAGAGAGGTTGAGCAAGTTGCCTGAGGTCACGCAGCCAGTAAGCAGCAGGCCCGGGATTCAAACCTAGGAACTCAGGCGCTGAAGCCTGTTCTTTTTTTTTTTTTTTTTAAAGATTTTATTGGAGAAGGGAATAGCCAAGCTGTTGTCCTTCAGTCTTAGTTGTGGAGAGCACAGCTAGCTCAGCTCCAAGTCTAGTTGCCATCCGGCCGCCCGTCGGCAGCTCACGGCTGCTCAGCTCAAGGTGTCGTGTTCAATCTTAGTTGCGGGTGGGTGTAGCCGACCATCCCATGTCAGAGTCGAACCAGCAACCTTGTTGTTAGGAGCACGTGCTCTCACCAGCTGAGCCATCCTGACGCCTGTTGGCAGCTCAGCGGCAGCTCAGCTCGGGTGCAGCGCACTGGCCCGTGTGGGAATCAAACCGGCTGCCTGTTGCTCAGAACTCACGCTCTTAATCAATTGAGCTACTCAGCCAGCTCCTGAAGCCTGTGCTTTTAATGGCACCATTGCACTGCCTCTGCTTTGGGATCAGGGCCCTGGGATAAAATCCTACCTGTGCCAGAGACATGCTTACAGACCCTAGGGAGGCCCTTCTGAACCTCAGTCTCCCCATCTATAAAAGGGGAATAATAATGCCTTTTTTTATTATTATTTTTATTATTATTATTTTTTAGCTGAGCCATCCTACCACCTGTTGGCAGCTCAGCTGCAGCTCAGCTCGGGCCGGGAATTGAACCGGCAGCCATGTTGCTCAGCTTGCACTTTTGAGCGAGCTCTTAACCAACTGAGCCACTTGGCCGGCCCTTAATAATGCCTTTCTTGCAGGGTCGTCAGGTGGATTAAATGAGAGGCTGCATCTAGAGTCTGCACAGTGCCTGGCCCCCTGTAAATTCTCATTAGAGGCACTGAGATTGTCCCCAATCTTCCTGACATCTTTTTGTTAATCAGGCCCTCAACTCAGACAGGCAGGCTTAAGCAAATAGAGGAATTTCTTGCTCTGGATCAGAAAAGTCCAGGGGTGGCTGCCTTCAGGCATGGCTGTATCTAGGTGCTCAGGTGAAGCCTCTCAGTTCTACTTTTCTGTGTATGGGCTTTGCTTGCAGTCCCCTCATTGAGGCAGAGATGCCCCCGCACTCCAGCAGTTTTAGGCTCATCCACCAGCTTTAGCCCTTCTTTAATAATTCCAGCAGAAATCCTGAAATTGAGCCCCATTGGTTCCGCTTCCTCATCCCTGAACCAATTCCTGGCCAGGAATATGGGTTGCTCCAATCAGCCCACTCCTGCCAGTTCTCCAAAGGGAAGTTGGGGGAATGTTACTGGGATGATGGATTCTAGGTGTCTGTTTAACAGATGAGGCTGCCGAGGTTCAGAGATAATAAGCAGTTTGTCCAAGGTTGCACAACCATGCGAGGCCCTCAACAAATATCCAATGATTGAGGATTCTAGGGAGCGTGAGAGTCAAGGGTAGGGATCTACTGTGCCCTCTGACCCCTGGCCTCCATCCTGCACAGCCTGATGTGTGAGAAGCGGATCTTGGCAGCAGTGACTAATGCGGGACATCCTTTCCTGGTGAACTTGTTTGGCTGTTTCCAGACACCGGAGCACGTGTGCTTCGTGATGGAGTACTCGGCCGGCGGGGACCTGATGCTACACATCCACAGCGACGTCTTCTCTGAGCCCCGTGCTGTGTGAGCCCAGCACCCCTGCCCCCCTGCACCCTGATGCCTCAGCCCCCTTCCCGCTCCTTCCCCTTCAGGCTCCACCTCCCCCCAGCTCCTGAGTTTGAGGGGAACAGGTGGGCTTTTGAGGATGTGGCAACCAGGTTTATATGATCTTCCTTGTCTGGAGGCCTGACTCCCTCACCCAAGCCTCTCTCTGCAGCTTCTATTCAGCCTGTGTGGTGCTGGGGTTGCAGTTTCTCCACGAACACAAGATTGTCTACAGGTGCGTGTGTGCGCTCTGCCCACTGCGGGGCTCTCAGGCTTCAGGCAGGGCCCCGATCCCCACTCATCCCTCTTTACATCCCCCCAACCCCTCACAGAGACCTGAAGTTGGACAATTTGCTCCTGGACACCGAGGGCTATGTCAAGATCGCAGACTTTGGCCTCTGCAAGGAGGGTGAGGGGCGGGGCCGGGTCTGAGGGGCTGGCCTCTGGGGATTAGGCAGCGGGTGGAGAAAGGAATGGAGTCTCCAACCCTACCCAGGTATCTCACACCCCCGCCCTTGACCCTGGGACAGGGCTGGCTGGACCACACAATGTTGAGCTTGGCTAGAGCTGGGTCCCCCTGCCCCCAAATACATAATCTCACATGGCCCTACTGTCACAGGGATGGGCTATGGGGACCGGACCAGCACATTCTGTGGAACCCCAGAGTTCCTGGCCCCCGAGGTGCTGACGGACACGTCATACACGCGGGCAGTGGACTGGTGGGGACTGGGCGTGTTGCTCTATGAGATGCTGGTTGGCGAGGTGAGGCTCCAGGCTGCCCCCACCTTGCCTGTCCCTGGGATGGCATTAGAACCTGTGTTGTGCTCAGGGGTGGGATCAGAATTTGCCTCCAGGGATATTATCAGGGGCAGGTGGCTTCACCTCCCTGGCCTCAATTTCCAAATCTATAAAATGGGGTACTACCTTCCTGTGTGAAGGTGCAGCTGAGCAGAAGGCTCAGGTGGGGCTAGGTGTGGTATGGCCAGAAGAGGAGCCTAATTCACCCGGTTCTCCCTGCATTCTCCCTGTCCCAAGTCCCCATTCCCAGGGGATGATGAGGAAGAAGTATTTGACAGCATCGTCAATGATGAGGTTCGCTACCCCCGCTTCCTGTCAGCCGAAGCCATTGGCATCATGCGCAGAGTAAGGACCCTCCCAAGCTGGGGTGGGCCTGGGGAGGGGCTCTGAGACCCAGAAGGGGAAGACTGACACAGAGCCCCCTTCTTCCCAGCTGCTGCGGAGGAATCCGGAGCGCAGGCTCGGGTCCAGACCTTGTTGCTTCACCTGCAACATTGTCACCCCCGTTTCCGTCCCCCTCCTTCACCCCTGCTGACCCTGGTACACTCACATCTATTCCAGGCTGGCCCTGTGGGAAGCACTGCCCTGTGGATGAGCCCAGGCTCTCCCCCCACTGATCACCAGGCCCCCCATGCTCACCTTTTGATCCTTTTGAGCTCCCAGTCCACTTTTTCCCTCTGTCTTGTGACTCGTTAGGCTGATCCCCACAGACCCAGGGCTGGATGGGGCACAAGGGGCTTCCCCCTCTTGTGGTCTGTGCCCCAGCCCCCCAACACTGACCTCTTCCTTCTCTCCCTACAGACCCTGGGCTGGGATGCCCTGCTGGCCCGGCGCTTGCCGCCGCCCTTCGTGCCCACGCTGTCGGGCCGCACAGATGTCAGCAACTTCGACGAGGAGTTCACGGGGGAGGCCCCCACGTTGAGCCCGCCCCGCGATGCGCGGCCCCTCACGGCCAAAGAGCAGGCAGCCTTCCGGGACTTCGACTTTGTGGCTGGGGGCTGCTAGCCCTCTCCCTCACCCCTGCCCCGACCCAGCTGTTAGTAGTTTTTAAAAAGGCCTTTGGGGTTTGCCCCCCTCCATGCATCCCTGGCTCTTCTGGTGTGCAAGAATGGGGGTGGTGATCAGATGTGGAGAGTTTATAGGGAGGCGCCTTGGGTTATGGTGGGGGCGTTATTTGAAGAGGGTCAAGTGAGGGTGGAGACTTGGGACTGTCACTATGATGGGGAGCTGGATAGGCTGCCATGGGAGGGGGATCGGGCTGTTTGGGGATGTCGGGAGAAGCTATGATGGACGTTGTTTGAGGGTATGGCCTTGGGACTGTGTTTGGGGAGCTCAGGGCCATAATGAGCAAATGGCTGCGGGAGGCAGTCCTGGCAGCGGTAGGGGCAAGAAGCGGCCAACCCCTCCTGCTCTGCTCGGAACAGAGCCTGAGTCCCGGGGGGGTGCTGTCGCGGCGTTATGCGCATGCTCCTCCAGCTCCGCGTTGGGCGTCCCTGTGCCCCCAAGTGGCAAGTCTCAGAACTGCACCCATAGGAGCACTGCCTCTCCCACTCCGGCGCGGTCAAATGGATGCTGCAGCACCGACGGAACTTACCGCCCTGGGCTTGTCCGCAATATGGCTTTATTCCCCGAAGGCTCCGCGCTGCGGACCTGGGCCCAGCCCGGGTTGGTCTGGCTTAGTTGCTGGGCTTCCGAGCACGCCTATAAGTGGCTGAGGCCACTGTGCCGAGAGCTGCGCAGCGAGCTGACCTCCCAGGTGCTCCTGGTTAGGCCCGGCCCAGCGGGGCTGCCCTTGGCACAGGCCCTCCGGGGCAGGAGGCGAAGCAGTTGGCGCAGCACGGCCTGGCGTAGAAGGATGTACACCCAGGGGTCCAGGATCTGGTTCCACGAGGCGAGGCGCACGGCCAAAAAGAGCGGCCGCTGCAGGGAGCTGGAGCTCCAGCCCCCGATGGCCAGTACCACCAACACCTGCGGGAGAAGAGGGTGTAAGCGGTGGGGGTGGGGGTAAGAAGGGTACCGGCGAGGGGTGGGGCTGGGATGGATGGGAGCATGGCTGGAGGGTAAGGGGGCTGTGAGGAGGGGCAGAACGGCACAGAGGGGTAAATGGGTATCTTCCTGGAAAGGAGCCATGGAAAGACAAAGAAGCAGGGCCTTAGAGGTCGCGGCAGAAACAGGCCTTCATTGGGTGACGGCTTGGGCTAGAAAGGAGAGAAGTCCCAGGTGTCCCGAAGCACGGGGTTGAAGGGGAGAAGGAAAACGGGGTGGGAGAGGCGGTAGGGGGCAAGGAAATGAAGTGTTTGGGCCTAGAGAGATGGACCTGGGGAGAAGAAGGTTTACATGCATTGGGATAAACTACAAAAGACCCCTGGAAGGAGTAAGGTAAGGGGGCTGGGAGGAGGGGTGGGACGTCAGAGGGAGAGGGCAAAGGGCGGCTCTCCTCACAGGTGGGGCCTCGAGGGGGCGGGGCCCTGGCTGGGGAAGGGAAAGAGAACCCAGGTATCCTCGGATGGAAAAGGTTTAAAGGGGCCAAGGCAGGAGCTAGAAGAGGCATGCGTGTCGGGGCGGGTGTGCCCCTCACCAGCAGCGGGCTCCAGCATATGCACGACACCACCATGATGCCCACTAGCTGGCCCACCATCTCCACGTCGTGAGCGCGGGCTCTGCGTGCTGACCCACGGCCTGTAGAGCCGCGGAAGGCGGCGGAGGCCGAAGCGACAGACGAGACGGACGAGGCGGAGGTCAAGCGGAGTCCGGACTCCCCCCAGCGCCGGCGGCTGTCCGGACCGGAGGTCGGGGGGCGCCGTTGAGAGCGGCGGCGCCAGCGGGCGCGCAGCAGGGCCAGGCCGCTGAGCGTGTTGCACACGAGCGCGGCGAGCAGCGCGGCCAGGCCGAGGCCCGCGAAGAGGCCGGCGAGCAGGGCCTGGCGCCAGCCCCCCGCCGGGCCCAGGCCAATGAAGCACCACGTGCCAGGGTACTGCAGCTCGTAACGGCCCACGCGCGCCAGCGGCAGCAGCGCCACAGCCAAGGCCACGGCAGCTAGCGCGGCCAAAGCAAGGCGCGCGCGGCCCGCCGAGACACGGGCCGCGTGCATCAGGGGCCGCGTGACCCCTACGCAGCGCTCCACGGCCATGCCGCAGCCCAGCAGCAGCGGGCACAGGCCGAAGAAGACCATGCAGCCGCCCAGGAAGTGGCAGGCTCCTCCGGCCGGCGAGCGCCCGGCTGCATACAGGCGCAGCACCAGCGCACCTGGGATCACATGGCCGGCCAGGTCGGTGGCCAGCAGGCTGGCGACGAACAGCAGGAAGGTGGCGGCCGAGCGGCGGCGCCGGAGGCGGCCGGAGGCTTGAGCCAGCAGCCCCAGCGCCAGCACGTTGGACAAGGCGCCCAGCGTCATGGAGAAGATGGGCAGCGCCGGCGACGCGCCTGAGAGCCCCGACTGCGGCCCAGCCGACGCGTTGGCGGCCCCAGGCGCCGCACACGTGGTCGCCTCGCCCACCAGGCTCAGGTTGAGGGGCCCGCAAGGGCTCATGTCAGGTGCCAGGGGTAGGGCTGGGGAGAAGAGGAGGGCAAGATGAACCTGACCCAGGGCCAGTGCCCACTGTCTGGCTGAGACCAGCCGGTGTCCCATCTCAGATGACTGGGGCCCATGTTACCCCACGGCAACTCCAGGGACCCTGGCTACCCAGTTCCTGACTCTTCCTCCTCCTCTGCCTCTCACCATCCCAGACCAGCTCTTGCTCCCAAACTCACTTTGTTCTCACTGCGTCCTTTTCTGCCCACTGTGGCTCCCCTGGCTGCAGCCCTTGTGTCTTGTAATCTCTAGGCTTCATGGACCCACCTCCTGTTTACACCACAGCAGATTCCTGGTCGCTGACCCCATCTGATACTCACTGACCCATTTCTGACCCCAGGCCCCCATCTGACCCCAATGCCCCATCTCTGATAGTCATTATGTTACCTCTAACTCCAGTCCCATCCTTGATGCCTACAGCCCCACCTCTATGGGTGGACCCATTTTCTCCCCTATTATACTGTACCCGTGGTCCCATTTCTGCTCTCATGGCCATTTGTCCCCATGGTTGCATCTCTATCCCCACAGCCACATCCCTGTCCCCCACAATCCCATCTCTGAGCTCCACCGCTGTCTCACCCAGGCCCTACCCCTGACCACCGCTACCTCACCCTGTATGCACCACAGTTCCAGAACTCCTGCCCCGGAGGCCTCCAGGCTGACCCAGGACCGCACATCTCTTGATACCCTGGCGGTGAGGGCAGAGAGGGCAAAACTACCCGCTGGGTCAGATAGGGAGGATGGACCGATGGTAAGAGCAACAGGAACAGACAGATGGGGCTGGGAGTCAAGGAACACAGGCAAGAGGGAGCCACGGCCCCATCCTTCGGCGCCCACCAGCCCTACCCGATATCCTCGAGCCCCAGCCTTACCGGGTGGTGCATGAGACCCTGGGACCCCATCGCCTGTGTCTTGGCTCCTGCTGTCCTCCGCACCCTCGCCTACTGTGCTCCAGCTCTCTGGCAGGCCGCTCGCTCCCTCCCTCCCTCCCTCCCTCCCTCCCTCCAGGGGCGGCTCCCCAGCTCCCTGCGGCCTCCTGCTGCCTGCTCAGGCCTCCAGGGGCCGCTCCACTTAGCGCCAGCCCACAGGGGGCCTGGGGTGACAGAGACCACCTCTCTAGGCTCCTGGAAATAGGTGGGGGCTACTCTTGGTCCCAGCTACCCCTGTGAGGAAGGGGAGCTCCCAGGGAGTTGTCCTGACCCCCTCCCCCTGATGGGGGCAGGAGCACCCCCCTTCCCCCTAGGCATGGGCCTCTTGCCTGCCTCATTAATAAAGCGGATAAAATCTAAACACTGGAAAATGTGAGCGTCACTCAGGGAGGGCTGGGGTGGCTACAGGGGGTGCCGCTGCCCCCCTGGGGCTGTGAAGTTAGGGGTCTAGCCCTTGTGGGGGCAGCGGCATCCCCTTGCCCTGCTAGAGCCTTCATGGATGTTGGGTGGGCAGTGGTGGGCAGTGCCTTGGGTGGTGGACCAGCTTGGGTCAGGACCAGTCAGGCCAGGAGATCCGCCCACTATTTACACAGGGGCTTAAAGCCCAGACCAGGGCAGCACAGTCATACCCCTGGAGGGGGGAGCAGGAGGCTGGGCGATCAGGGGACTCTCCTAGATTGTGCTTTAGGATGTGGTGAGCAACACACATCCCAAGCTACAAAGACAGCCACACACAGAGGCAGCTTCCCCTCTTGCCCTGAGTAGGGACACACACACACACACACACACACACACAGTCTCACGATCATATCCCCTAATACCCTGATACCAACCACCATCACAGCCTGTCCCCAGCCAGCTATGACGTGGGGTCAGCCGTTGTCAAACCCCTGAACTCACTGAGACAGTCACACCACCAGCACAGAGATGTGCCCAAAGTTACTGACTCTAACATGGGCCATGTCTCTCAATACCCTGAAATACAGCCCCCTGAGATCCTTATTGCTGAGACAGTCCCCCAGCCATATCCAAATCACCTAGAGACACCTCCCAACAATCCAAGTTCCACAGGCACACTCCACACACCCAAGACACAAGGAATGGCACCCCTGGATGCCCCTAGATCTAGCTGATCACCCCCCTACCCTAGGAACAGGAACATCCAGACACACACTTTCAGTCATCCACTTGCACAGTCATGCAGTCATATGGCCACACTCCGGGCAGACACCCAAAAACACCAGTTATACCCCAAAACACCCTGGCACACAGAGAGAGTTGTTGCACCCCATTTCCTCAACAGATAGTTACAGCCCTCAACATGGTCACAAACCATCAATATTCTGATACACTCAGTCCTACTCTCAATATCAAGACACTCACCCTTCAAACCAGAGCCATCTACTGGCACAGACACATGAAGCACCCACAGGTGCCCAGGGATGATGCACAGAGTAACCCTAACATTGGCCACCCCCACCCTATCCCAAGAACACAGCCACAGGCTGTGTACCTACCCCCAACCCAGCAGTCCCCCCACCTTCCCCACTCCCAAGGCCCATCCACTGGCCCAGTGGAAATGGGGACTGGGCAGGGCTCACGCTTCTCTCGTCTCATCCCCAAACATTCCTGCAGGGACCTCTGGCCTGGTTGGCGCCCCTACTTTCAATCTTGGCTTTTCCCTCCGGGTCTGGCCAGGATACCGCCTCCCCCTTCCTTGATCTCTCCTCAATCCTCAAGGATCAAGTGGGTTGTCAAAACAAGCAGGCCAGGTTTATATCCAGTGCACAGCATGACTGGCCATAAGTGCCCCCAGACTCCGCACGTCCAGTCTACTGGGGGCTGCATCATGACAGCTCGTCCAGCTTCAGGAGTGGGCTCCTCCCCATAGCACTTACCCCAGCAGACCCAAAACTCCGTTTGCCCTCCCCACATCTTTTTCCAAGACAGGCATTCAAGCCTCCTGGCCCCGGTGCTTTCCATGACCCTGGACTGTAACGGACTGTAGCCGGCAGCCTCGTGCCCACTGTTCACATTGGGCTGTGGTGGCTGGAGGCCTTGCTCAAAAGGGAGCAAGACTTGAACCCGCAGTAGGCCAAGAAGCTCCAGCCTTGCCTGGAAGCCTGGTGGCCTATAGCCAGGAGCCTCATCAGGCGGAACGGGTGGGAGGGGGTAGGCGGCCCAGGCCAGCTCCTAATTCAATTTGGAGCCAGAGGAAGATGGATTTCAGCTGTTACATTCTTTCCCAGCCCAGGCCCACCCTGCCCTCCCATCCCTCAGTCACCAGACAGGTCCAACAGCAGATAGAGTCTTTATGTTCCAGACAGCAAATTCAGATACAAAAGCCCACCGCCATCATCCCTTCCGCCCAGTCTGTCCGAGGCTGGGCTGAAGGAGACACAGGGGTGGGGCGGGGAGGTTGGGGGTTCACAGCAGACTTGTGTTTCAATGCAGAGGTAGGGGGCTCCTCTGGAGGGGGGTGGTGGGAGGGTATTATTGCATTTGCTGAAGGGGGACACCCCCCTTTTGGATTCCTTCCAACAGGAAACCAGGGAGGCTAGGACCCCCAAATAGAACCTGAGGCCCCAGGGAGACAGAGGGACCAGTTTGGCAGCTGATGTGGAAAGTGTTAGGGGCGGGGGCTGGCTGCCCAATCTGGCTCATCTCTCCCCGCGCCTGACTAGCTGAGGTAGGTGGGGAATGGGGGGTGGGGTGGGGGGAGCAGCTGGGACCCCAGCCAGGCTAGGAACCAGAGAGGGGGTGGTACCAGTTGGAGTGGGGCAGGAGCTCCGCTCCACCTCCGAGCTGCATCGTCCTGGAGCTGCTGGGCCAGGCCAAAGCCGGACGCTGGAGTCTGGGCTGTGGTGTCCCCACCCCAGGGGCTCCCACCAGGCTGGGCCCAGGTCATCCTAAGGTCCACCAGGAGGCCTAGTAACGGCCGACCTTGGCATCCCCAATGGCACCCCAAACATCAAAAACGAACTCATCGGGGAAGGCGAAGTCACCAAGCCGCTCATCCAGGGCCTCGGCCAGCTCATCCGGGTTCCTCTTGTCCTTCCCAAGTTCGACCATGGTGGCCGCTGGAGGGTGGGGGAGGGAGCAGAATGGCGGCACAGATGCAGAGGTGCTCAGGGCAGGCCCACCCACAGCACCTTAGAAGCCCCTCCCCCAGACCCCCACCCTACCCAGAAGAAGTGCCACCAACTCACCTAACTCCGTGTCCCTGATGCCCATGTAACTTTCCAGCAGGTCATCTACTTTCTCAATCGCCTTCTCCTCAAAGGCTGAGGGCTGGAGACAGGAGAGAGGAGAGACAGTGGCATTATAATGTGAATGTAACTGTAACTGTATTTACTAAGTGCCGGGTCTCTTTTCGCCATTTTATGTATATTAACCCACAGTTCATCCTTATGACAACTCTGCCAGTGTCGGTATTGTTATCCTCCCCCCCACATTTTATAGACAAGGAAACCGAGGCCCATTTGCCTAAGAAGGTCCCAGAGCTGGGAGGAGGCACAAGTGGATTTGAATCGTGTCTGGAGCCCCTTAGGTATCAGCTGCTGCTGCCGCCTATGAATATGCAGGGAAGGGGGGGCTCAGGCCCAGCTGGAACACTCACCAGATCCTCTACTGTGGCAGGGCCCCGGGATCGGAGCCGGAGGGTCCCTCGGCCAGTGCCCAGCTGGGGGCCGGAGCCAGGGCGGCCACCCCCTGCACGTACACTGATCATGTCTGTGGAAGGCAGGGGAGGGGTGAGGATGGGGAAGGCCCAATTCCAGCATGTTCTGGGCAGGAACCCAGGAATCCTGGCCCTAGACACCCTAGACACCCCCTTCTACCTTCTCCAAGCTTCTGTAGGCTCCAGGGGGAGTTGGGGGCTAAGGTGACTCTAGGAGGGCAGGACTCCTCACTCAGGCTTGGCATGGATGGGGGAGGAGCACCCAGGGGCTGGGAATGAAAAAGGCTGGAGGGGAGACTGGGACTGGTCACATCTACTCCCAGGGCCTAAGGGACACACGGGGGTGGGGCCTTGGTCTCCAGCTGCATTCCCCAAGGCCAAGGGGGTATAGCTGCTGGGCCAAGGACCAGCCCTATCTGCCTGGGGAAGTGTTTTAGAGTCCCTCACCCCCACCCCAGGGGCCTCCAGCCCATTCCTGAGAATTACTGAAGCCAGAATGAAAAGTGGGGGGGCTGCCACAGGGCAGCCAAGCTTGGCTTCTCAGGGTGGGGGACTGGCCAGGGTTGGGGGCACTTGGCTGGGCTAATGGCTCCTGGAAGCTGGGTGTGGGGGCAACTTCCTCCTTGCCCCCCCCCCTCCTCCTAGGCTGGGCAGAGAACCAGCACCCCCTCCCCAAGGCAGGGTGGAGCTGCCTCTTTCCAATTTGGCCAGCTGGGTTTGGGCGCCACCTGCTGGTGGCCCCTGGCACTGCAGCCTAGACCCAAGTAAACAGGGTGATCATGGTGGTCCAGGCGGCAGCCCCTCACCAAAGGCCTTGCGGGGCTCCGTTAACTTCAGCGTGAAGGTGCGGCCTCGGGGCAGCTCCTTGAGCAGCCGGGCCACCTCGTAATGCCGGCAGCCCAGCAGGCTCTGCCCGTTGATGGCCTCGATCATGTCGCCCACACTGATGAGCTGGATATGGTCAATGACACTGCCCTCCTTGATACGCTGTGGGGAGAAGAGGTGTCAGCCGTGTGGCTCCGCCCTTGGGTCCTACAGCCCGCCCTAACCTCGGGCACCTTAATGAAGGCGTAGCCTGCCCCGTTGTCCGTGATGGTGAGCCCCAGCGCCTCCTCCGACTTGAACACCTCCACCTCCTTGCGCTGCCCTTTGACGTGGGCAAAGATGAAGTCCTCCAGCCCAATCTGACCCCCCAGGAGCTTGTCCATGTCCACTTTATGGGTGTTGAGGGTGCAGAACATCACCTGCAGAGGTGGGAGACACTCAATCCTCACCTTCCCTCCCTTGGCCTTTGCAACCCCAACCTAAGGGGGAAGAGAGGAGAGTAGGGAAAGGCCTGAAGGTCCCCACCCAGTGCCTGACCACCCCCATGCCAAGGCAGGGCCCCCAATGGGATGTCAGCTCTGCTGGGCTGGGATTTCTGTCCTAGCAAAAACTCCCTGCTGGTTGCAGGCACAGAGTCTGGCCCACTGTGGTGCTCAGTAAATGCTTGTGGAATGAATAAAGGGGCACAGACACCCACCAGGCCTACTGAGACCCCTGCAGCTGAACTTCTTGCTCAATCCCACTGTTGCCCTCCTGGCCTCCCTTCAGTTCCCAAAGTCCTTGGGGTTTGCCTCCCTATGCATCACGGAGAAGTAAAACTTGCACCTAACCTCCAGCCCCCAAAATCCACTGGGGCACAAACAAAATATGGTGGGAATGTAGCATCCAGTCCTGGCCATCAGTTCCCATAATCCACCGGGAAGCAGGCTTCCCAGTGCCTGATGGAAACTCAGCACCCAGTCCTGGCCTCCAGTTCCCCATAATTCACTGGGGACAGGCCTCAGCATCTGCAGCTTCAGCACCTGAGCCCCAGCTCAGGACCAGGAGGCACATCCAGGCCTCTGGGCTACCATCAGGGCCCCGGCGCTCCCTGGTAAATACCTCGGCAACTGGCAGCCGGAAGGCCTCGGCGATCTTGCTGTACAGCTCCTTGACGTTGGTAAAGCCCTCGATGCGGCCAGTGGGACTGCCATGGGCCAGCTGGGTGTGGAACACAAGGCGGGGCCGCAGGGCCGGGGGAGGGGGTGGCAAGCCCACTTGGGGCCCTCCTGCTCCACCTCCACCCAGGGGCCCCGGCTCCCCGACGCCCAGCCCACCACGGCCTGGCTCAGCTTCCTCATTTTCCACCAGAGGCGGCGCTTTTTTCCGCCGCCCCAGTCCCAGCGGCATGAGCAGCGGAAAGAGGGGGCGCGCCCAGGAGATCTGCAGGGCAGAAAAGTGGGCTCAGGGCTTGGGCACTGGCCCCGGGCTCCTTCTCCCCCACCATTAGCACCCTACAGGCCCCATGACATATTCAGAGAACAGACTGGCTTCAGTTCAAATCCCGGTTCCGGCACTTTTACACTCCTACAGAAGTAGTAATAGCAGCGAATATCTATTACATCCCCTGCTAACTGCTCCATGACCTTTCTTAATCCTCATACCACATAGGGACGTACCTTGTTTCCCCCAAAATAAGACCTAGCCAGAAAACAAGCCGTAGCATGGTTTTAGGTGCCAAAATATGGCACCTTGGCATACTGAATATTTTAAACTGAAGTTTATGGAAAAGGCATCCTTCTCCCTGAAACAGGTCATAAAACTCTCATGTGAGGGGTGCGTGCCCTCCAGATCCTGGAGGAATCATGCTATGGCTTATTCTCTGGCTAGGTCTTATTTTTGGTGAAACACAGTAGGGATCATATTATGCTACGATTACACCCATTTAACAGATGAGAAAATGGAGGCTCAGAGCGGTTCAGTTTCTCTTTATTTTTCTATAGGTTGCAGTCATTAGTGCTGTGCACAAAATATTTCTGACTCTCCTTTCAAAGCACATAGGCAGATGGCATTTATTGACCTCCTTATGACTGGGGAGACATGTCACTAGTTCTAGCCAGTGAGTTGCGAGAGGAAGTAACACACGACATTTCTGGACGGCAGCATTTAAATACTGGGGAGAGAGCCTCCAGAGGTCTATTTCTCCCTGGCAGGGTGACCAACCACTTTTGATGTGGTGGTGGCTCCATCAGGATAGGCCCTGAGCCACTACAACAAATGGAACTTCTCGCCTAGCTGCAATGGACATGGAGCAGGAAAGAAATTAAACCTTTGTTGAGTTTGGCCACTAAAATTTTAGAGGTTGTTCCTGTGGCAAAACCTGTCCTGACTGATACCTTTTTTTTCTTTCCTCTCCCTCACATTCTTTCTTCTGCCGTCTTTCCCTCTCTCCATTCCTCCTGTCAAACAAGTCTTTTTTGGGTGTTTAAATAATCCATACATCGTTTTAGACACTGCTTTCAATAAGACAAGCAAGGGCCCTGACTGGGGCCATGTGTGCAGTTACACAGGTTGCTCCCTGTGCAAAAGCATCAGACCCTCGTATGGTGATATGTGTGCTGGGAGGAAGGGCTGCCTTTTTCTAATTCACTCCTAGGTGCTATATCAGCTAGCTGGGGTTCTGTCAGTGCTGTCTAGAAGCATGCAGTCCAGGGAAGAAGGTGTAAGTATCCCATAGAACTTCTAATAGTTCCATGAAGACAATAAAACAAGCAAAGTTTTATTGAGGGCCTCGCTGAGCAGGTGAAGCTGAACCTGAGACCTGAATGACAGGAAGAAGCATCCACGTGAGGATGTGAGGCAGAGTGTTCCAGGCAGAGGGAACAGCCAGTACAAAGTCCCTGAGATGCTTGGCATGTCTGAAGAACAGCAGGGAGGCCCATGTGGTCGGAACAGAATGAATAAGGGGGACAGCAGGAGGAGGTGAGAGCAGGGAGGTGATAAGCATATGGAGCAGGGCCGTGGGCTGCAGGGAGGACGTGAGCTTTTGCTCTTGGTACTGTGGCAGCCATGGAAGGTTCTGAGTAGACTCGCAGACTCAGGCTCACAGATCAGCCAGACACCAGTGTGGCTGGAGTGGAGTGAGCAACAGGAGAGCATGAAGTGGGGAAGGTAAAAGAGGTGACATCAGTCAACTGTGCAGGGCCTTAGAGACTGGGAAAGAATTCGGATTCCATTTTTCAGTAACACATCCAAAGTCACAGAGGCTGGCTGCACCCTCAGGTCTGACTCCCAAGCCCAAGTTCATAACCAAAAAGCTCAATCCCCTAAGCGACTCCATCTTCCTTGACTTCAGATACTTGGTCTGCAAATGGGGACATCCTATCCATCTGGCCAGGTTGCAGTGAGGATCAAATTATGCCAAATTATATTTTTCTGTGTCAAGCGGACTTCCTGCACCCCCACTTCGGATTGCCTCTTCCAGGGGTTGTCCTGGATTCAGTTGAGTCCAGTGGCCTGCACCCATCCTCATGCATCTATTCATTTTTTCATTCATTCATTCATTCATTCATTCATCTATTCTTCAACACCTCTAATATCACCTGTTCCAGCCCCATTGTCACTCACCTAGACTAATGCAGTTGCCTCTTCCAAGTCTTCCAGCTTCTGCCCTTGCCCCCCACGTTCTCTTGTCAACACAGCAGCCAGAGTGATCCTGTAAAACATAAGCCATGTCACATCTATCCTCCCCTCCGACTCCTCCCAGGGCTCCTAACTCATTCAAAGTAAAAGCCAAGGTTCTCCCCTCAGCTCACAGGCTTCTAAAGATCTACCCCGCTGTCCTCATCTCCTGCCACTCTCCCCTTCATTCACTCCCTCCAGTCACACAGGCCTCATCCCTGTTCCTCCAACATACTAGGCAAAGTCCAGCCTCAGGTCTTTGCACCGGCTGTGCTCCCTTGTATCCACACAACTCACTCTCTCACCTATTACAGGTGGAAAATATTTTTAATTCATTTATCCTGTTCATTGTTTGTTTTCCGAAAGTTCAGGGAATTTTGTCTGTCTTATTCGTCCCTATATTCTCAGTGCAGAGAACAGTGCTCAATAAATACTTGTTGAATGATGAATGGATGAATGAAGGATTCTAATATTGACCAGCCCACCAGTTCCTGTGCCTGGCTCTGGGGGGACAAAGGGGCACAGGCTGTAGTCTCTGCCCTCAAGAGGGTCTTGTCTCCCCAGCAAAAGCACAAGCCCCGCCCCTGTGGCCCCTTATCTCTTGCTTCCCAGCAGTGCTGGGCACAGGGTGTGTACTTCATCTAGCCACGGAGAAAAGGGACTGTATCTCTCTCACCTTTTTCACTGTGGTTTTTTCATTCCCCTGATAATCAATGATCCTGAGCACCATTTTTATTTTTTTATTTTTAGCTGAGCCATCCTGCCACCTGTTGGCCATTCAGCGGCAGCTCAGCTCGGGCCGGGACTCAAATTGCTGTAGCTCAGAGCTCTTAACCAACTGAGCCACTTGCCGGCCCCTCTGAATACCTTTTAATACGTTTATTAACCATCTGGATTTGCCCTTTTGTGACTTGCCTGTTTAAGTCTTTGCCCATTTAAGAAAATTGCATGTTCCATCTTTTTTCTTATTGATTTGTGGGAACTCTCTATATATTCTGGATATACTAATACTACATATTCTGAACCCTAGTCTTTTATTGGTTACATCTATCAATAGTACCCATCATTGGATCTAGCACACAGTAGGCACTCACTGAATATGAGACAAAAAAATAAATTCTGAATGAATAAACCAGTACTGCCTCCTCCAGTTGTTTCATTACATTCAATGATTCTAAAAAATAAAATAAAAAAATCCTCATCACCTCTCCTGGTTCCCCTCCCCCATCATACACTAGGAGGCAGGAGGCTGAGAACATGAGTCTGGAATCTGGCTGCACCACTTAATAGCTGTGTGGCCTTGACAAGTGTCTTAAGCTCTTCAAGTTCTAAGGAAATCATACACGTACATGGAACAGTTCCTGGCACAAAATATAAGGGTTCCATAAATGTTGGTGATTATTACTATTTCCATCTATAAATATAGAAGATACTAACTTCCTCTTTTTACCCAGGGCCTCCACATCCTGATCACCAATTTCCAACCTTTTTATTCTCTCTGCCCACACTTGCTGCCCTGGTTTAGGCTGGCTGCCTGTCCTCAACTGGGGGTGCGGGAATAACAGTGGTGAGGAAAGTGGGTAATTAATGAATTTGCCTTCCAGGCCAGAAGAGGCATGAGGACTTGGGTTCAAAACCCATCCCTGCCACTTACCAGCTGTGTGGCTGTAGGCAAGTCACTTCATCTGATGGAGCTTCAGTTTCCTCATCTGAAAAACGGGCAGAATTCCTGTCTGTCAGAGTGCTTATGACGATTCAAAGAGATTATGCATGTTACCTGCTTAGCATTTTCCCTGACATTCAATTTAAAAAAACTGTTGTTATTATTATTATTATTATTATTATTATTATTATTATTGTCATTATATTGCATCCTCCCCTACCCTGCCCAGGAACATCCCAGTCCTCTCTGCCTGCCAGGGCCTACTCCAGGTTACTTCCTCCAGGCAGTCTCCCTAGCTTGCCTTAGCCTGTTGGAACTGCCCCTGTGGTCTAGACGGCTCAGGCCCATGAACTTAATTACATGTTGCCCTGGCAGAACTCTTGTTTTCCAGTCTTAGGCTGTTATTAACTTCGTATCCTATTTTAAAATGTAAACCAGATCACCTCACTCCCCTGCCTCAAATCTTACAACAGTTTCCCACCTGACAGAAAAAAAGCTCCAAATTCCTCAATGTGACCCCCCAGACTCCTGCAGAATCGCTGCTTTGGATGCATCGCCTGCCCCAGCCACCCTATTTCAAGCCTGGTCCAACCTTAGGGACTTTGCCCTGGCTGTGCCCTCTTCCTGATTTTTGCAGGGCTGGCTCCTGCTTGTCATTCAGGCTTTGGTCCTAAAGTCACCTCCTCTGAGAGCCCTCCTTGCCCAGAGTTTCTATCATGTCACCCCCTCATATTTTATTCATAGCACTTACCACCATCTGTAGGTATCTTTTTTACTTGTTAGCTTGTTTCTCCTGCTAAAATGGCAGCTACCCAAGAACAAGGATTTTTTACTTGTTCACTATTAAATCCTCTGTGCCAAGAACAGTGCCTAGCACAGAGTAGATGCTCAAGAAATATTTGTGGAATGAATGAACATATCTTATATCCTCACTCTGATTGCTCTGAGTCCCCCAATACTCAGGACATGCCTGCTGTGGAGTTGCTGACTGCCACCCTCTCCCGACATTCCCAGGCTCTCCTCAAACCTGAACACAGGGCTGGAAAAAAGGAGTGTCAGCCTGGGCACCAAGCAGGTTAGCTGGAATTCCAGCATCCCTACCCTCTTTTCCCTGGGAAGGGCCTGAAACAGCAACTCCACAGCCACACAGAATGGCAGTGGCTGGGGAGCAGGAAGCGGGGAAGAGGGTTACTGGGAGCTCACACAAGCTCTCAGGGAGGGGGGACACCACACCCAGGCTCCCCTTTCCAACAGGGTAATGCTTTGGAGAGGAGGGCGGGAGGCCTCTGATTCAGTCTTGAAAAACCGGCTCCTGGGTGTTTCCGGGGAGAACGCCTACTGCTCCAGCCTGGGCCCAGGCTTCCTCGGGGGGCCTGGCAGGCACAGGACCCCAGAATCCTGGCTCCCTGCCTATCTCCCCTGAAGACATCACTCTCTTCTCAGGACCCCGGTACACCAGCCTTGCCTTCCAGCTCAAGGGAGAAGGGATATGGGGGCAGCTTATTGCTTGAGCAGCTGGTGTCTGGTGACCTCTGGGAGGAGGGGATGAGGGCATGGGGG